TTGCTAAAAGGGAAAACTGGGTATCAGAGAAAAAGATGCTGGAACTTCATGGGGAAGATGATTTCTGGGCCCACATGGAGTCAGGAAGGATTATTTACAGAGCAGACCCACTCACACCAAATGTGTGGAATTACCAAGACACAGGCGAGTTGGAAAAAGAAACCATGTGAAAAAGGCTCAGCACTGGTCACTAGGCCAGGAGTATGAACCGACTGCAGAAGACCAGCAAGAATGGCAAAGTTTCCTGAAAAAGGACAACTATACCCATTTGAGGGCTTTTGGCAAGGGATCTTCCTTGATAAAAGGAAAAGGGAAAAGCAAAGGAAAGACAAAAGGAAAGACAACAAAAAAGCCAAGAGGTTTGTTGGCCTTGGAGGATGGCACAGAAGAAGATCTAGAAGAGACAACTGAAGAAGAACAGTGGAAGGAGCTCTTGGCAAAAGCAAAGAGGGCAAGAGACCAAGCTGGGCAGGCCAAAGATGATTGTGAGGCTGCCCTCACTAAAGCTGACCTTGCTAAAAGGTTAACCAAAGCAGCCAAGAGAGACACTACAAGCAAGTTGGAAATTCTGGCCAAAAAGGTAAAGGTTGTCAAAGACATCTTGGCCAAGCAAGATCAGTCAATGCCCTTGCAAAAAGCCAAACAAGTGCTTGTGGGTACCATGACAGCAGTCAAGGCAGCCAAAGAAGAGTCCACAGAACCCAACCAGGTTGCAAACAAAGCTGGAAGCAAAGCCAGCAAGGGCTCCAAGAAGTGAACTTAGGAAACACCCTTGCTAACAGGGTAGCCTGGGATGTTCTTGCTAAAAGTTTGGCTTCTGGTACCTTTGCTACAATGCTAGCCCAAATGCCCTTGGTGAAAGGGAACCTGTTTAGATAGGGATGGCAATTGTCTATCCCACCCCCCTTGCTACAAGGGTTTGGCAGCAGCTGGCACCGACAGGCAAAAAGAGTTTTCCACCAAGTGCTCTGAAGGGATGGGGTGGGGGGGGGAAGGTTCCAAACACAAAGAAATAGTACAGTCTGTTCTGGGGCTTGCTTGTTGAACCAACCCCCAAAGGCTTTGGGGTGTAAAAGGTCAGCATGCTTTTTTAGGGGTTGCTTTGAGTGCCAAGGGCTAGCATGCATCATGCTTGAAACGCAGGCCCTTTGGATACAGGGTAACTTATAATACTTGATGAAAGGGGAATTTGCCATGGAGAGGCCTCCCAAAAGGCTGAAAGGCTGGAAGTTAGACCAGTCAAGAAAACATCCTTGTGAAAAGGATGAAAAGCTTGAGCCAAACAAGTCCAGCCCTTTGTGCACAAGGCTGCTTGAACTTTGGTCCCTGGGAAAAATATCAGCAGTCCAGGCTGCAGAGATAGCACACTTGGCCATTTTGGAAGGACGCTCCTCTGCTGAAACCATGGCCTTGGCCAAATGTGGTAACTTTGGCCAAAACCCTGGCAGTGCCCACAGGGACTTGGTCAGCCACTTTTGCAAAAACATCAAAGTATGTGACCCAATGCCAGTCACTGTTGATGTCCTTGGCCCCAACACCAGGAAGCACACCACGGAAGAAGCCTCCCTGTTTCTTCCCCACATTCTTTTCACTTTTCAGCAACATTGCTGAGCACTACACAGAGGTTTTCTTGGACCTGTTCTGCTTCAATGAAGCAGAATCTTTTTGGCAATGTGCTGAGAGGTCCAAGAACCCCAGGCTTGCCCCACCAATCACCCTTGGTAAAAGGGTCAGATGTGGAATGTCATGGGGCCCTTTGCCCAGCCAAAAGGAGAGCTTAGCAGCCCACCTGCTCCTGGTTGCCTTTCCAAAGAACTGCTCTGTGCCCACAACTTGGGGGCCTCTTTCATGACTGGATTGCCTGGAGCTTTGCAGCCTTGATAAAAGGCACGCACCCTTCCCAAGATCCATATGGGAATGGCCTGCCACCTTCACTGGCAGAGCTGGCTGGCCTGCCCTTGACACCAGGCAACCACAGAGCTTGCATCTACAGCATACAGGGTGACCAAGAATTCTTCTCAAACATCTTGAAGATGCCACACTGGCAAAACAAATTCCCCTGTGCAGAATGCGATGCCCAAAAGCTGCATTCAAGGGCATTAAGTGTCCTGATGGGAAGAGTGTCAAGCTTCTCAGGCAAGCTGATCAAAAGTTTGTATATGTCTCCCCTGAGCAAGCCCTCCTTGTTAAAAGGAGTGCCCATCCACTTTTTCAGGTGCCAGGCATCAGCGCAGCCATGGTGCGAGGAGACTCCCTCCACATCCTGTACTCCAGAGGAGTTGCTTCACACCTTGCAGGCTCTTTGATCCATTACTTGTGCTACTTTGATGGTGTGAAAGCAAGGCAGGCAGTGCCACCCAGCCAAAGGCTCCAAAAGCTGTTTGGCAGAATTAAGGAGCAGTATGTCCAAAATCAGGTCTCCTCCAGGTTGGCCAACCTTCGCCTCTCCATGACTTGCCCTGATGCTGCCAAGCCTCACAAAAGCTTTGCGTGCCTTGAGGCAAAGGCTGCTGAGACTAAGCACCTGCTGCCCTGTCTGTTGCAGGTGTTGCGAGAAGCTCTGCCAGAAGATGACCCCATTCATCAAGCCATGCTGGCCTGCCTAGAAGCATTGATTCAGATTGCTGATCTGTATGATGCAATTGGGCTTTTTCCTACTTCTGAGGAGTTCGTGCAAGCCGCCAACCTTGCCAAAAGGTTCTTCAGCAACTACCATGATCTGAACCAGTGGGCCTTGCTAAAAGGCAGAAAGCTCTTTCACATCACTCACAAATTCCATTCCTTTCATCATCTCATCCTGAATTCAAAATATTTGAATTATAGAATCCATTCCAATTACAGAGCAGAGCACTTTGTGGGCAGAATGAGTGTGTTGACACATTCCACTGCCTTTGGGGTAAAATCCTCCAAGCTCAGCTCCAAGCTTGCAGTGAAATATAAATTTCTTCTTCACCTGCAACTCAGCAGGCCAGGTTTTGGCCAAGAGGGACAAGCCAGCTGACTATTGACTGCACAAGCTTCTGCTATAGAGGGTGCCCTTGCTAAAAGGGTGGCAGGCTGCTCTCCTTGTCCTGCTGCTGCAGGAAATGCCCTTGCTAAAAGGGTGGCAGGCCCCCATCCCTTTCCTGCTGCTACAGGAATGCCCTTGCTGAAAGGGTGACAAGCTCATCCCCTTTGCTAGAAGGTGAAAAGCACCTTCTCCTGCTTCTGTAGGCATGCCCTTGCTGAAAGGGGGACAAGCTCCTACACTGCCATTGTGGAAAAAAGGGGTGTGCCGCATTGCAAACCTTATTGATATTTGCTTTTGTTTTAATATCTAAAAATGAGGACATGTTTAATTGATTTGTTTCGCAATCTTGCTTTTGATTTTGGTCGCCTAGAACCACATGTTTCTTATTGAAAAAAAGGGCATATCAATAGAACAAGAAACCTATTGATTTAAATCAATAGCCGATGCCCAGGGTAGTACGCGAAGTCCACTTTCGCAGCTGGAAAGTGAAAATCGCAACTTTTAAGTGCGAAAATTGTACGCGAAGTCCACTTTTGCAGCTGGGGCTTGAAAATCGATAGGCAGATAGATAGATAGAAAAAGAGATAGATAGGTATAGAGAGATAGAGATAGATAGATAGACAGAGAGGGAGAGCGAGATAGATAGATAGATAGATAGACAGAGAGAGAGAGAGATAGATAGAGAGAGATAGATAGATAAATAGATAGATAGGTAGATAACGAGATAGATGGATAGATAGATAGATAGAGAGAGAAATAGATAGAAAGAGAAATAGATAGATAAATAAACAGCAGATAGATAGATAGATAGACAGATAGAGAGAGAGAGAGAGAGATAAACAGATAGATAGAAAGAGAGATAGAGAGATAGATAGACAGATAGGTAGATGGATAAAGAAATATATATATATATAGATAGATAGATAGATAGATAGATAGATGCATGGATGGATGGTAGATAGATAGATAGATAGATAGGTAGAGAAAGAAAGATAGAGAGATAGATAGAGAGCTGGGTAGATAGAGAGATAGAAAGATAGGTAGATGTATAGATAGATAGAAATATCGATAAATAAACAGATCGATAAATACACGAGAGACAAAGAGATAGATAGATAGAAAGATAAATAAATAGATACATAGAAAGATAGATAGATAGAAAGATAGAGAGATAGATAGATAGGTAGATAGAGGGATACATAGAGAGATAGAGAGATAGATAGACAGAGAGATAGATAGAGAGATAGACAGATAGAGAGACAGATAGATAGATAGATAGATAGAAAGAGATAGAGAGAGATAGATAGATAGAAAGAAAGAGAGATAGAGAGATAGATCGAGAGATAAATAGATAGATAGACAAACAAACAAAAGATAGATAGACAGATAGATTGATAGATAGAGAAATACATAGATAAACAGATAGATGGATACAGAGATAGATAGATAGATAGGTAGATGGATAGAGACATAAATAGATAGATAGATAGATAAATAGATAGAGAGGTAGATAGATGGATGGACAGATAGAGAGAGAGAGAGAGAGATAGAGGGATAGAGAGATAGATAGATAGAAAGAAAGAGAGATAGAGAGCTAGGTAGATATCTAGATAGAGAGTTAGAGATAGATAGATAGGTAGTTAGGTAGATAGACAGGTAGAGAAAGATAGATAGATAGACAGATAGAAAGACAGAGAAGAGACAAAAGAAAGAACAGCGCAGGAATAAGAAAACGAAAGAAAGAAAGAAAAGACAGATAGAAAGAAGGAAAGAAGGGAGGAAGGAAGGGAAGAAAGGAAGACTGACGGAGAAAAAAGAAACAATGAAAAGGAAGAAGAAGAGGAAACGAGTCAAGAAAAGAAAGAGAAAGAGAACTATAGGTTATATATTTTTGAAACTTCCGCCCACCGGCTTCGCCGGCTCTACTGGTATTATAAGATTATTATGAGTATAGCTTGGTATTCAGTTCGAGTGCCATAAACTCGCAGTCCTGCGCCACCACATTCGTTTCAGGTTGTTCTTGAGCTCCGCACCTTTAGCCAATTTTAGCCACATCGAGTTCGTTGAGATTGCGTGTGTCACTAAGTCAGACTCCAAGTGGTCCATAGTCAAAGAAGCCACTGTAGCCACCATAAATCTGGAGCACATAGCGAGCATGCGAATTTGAAAATGCAACAAATGCAAATTGCCAAATTGCCCTATCTAGCCTCTCCGCTTGGGAAAACAAAGCCACGTCTTTTGCACAGAGATACCAGCCCGTCAAGATCGATTTTGTACCTCATTCAGTATCAAAATGATTTCAACTCAGCAATTGTGTGGCAACTAAGCAAAGTGCGAAAACTCAGCGGTCTTGTCAACTGTCTTGTCTGCGACATGCCTGAATAGGCAAGTTGCCCCTTGCGCAAGGCACTGCAAGGCACTGCAAGGCACTGCAAGGCACTGCAAGGCACTGCAAGGCACTGCAAGGCACTGCCTGACCAGACGCCGGACCTGAACGAGGGGAGGGCCTGAGGGCCTGAGGGCCTGGGGTTTTCAAAAGACGGCCTTCCGAGATCCACGAGATCCGTTGCTCCTCTCAGATCGACTTGCAAACCTTAGGACCTTCAATTTATTGAAGCATGTCCTCATTTGAACGATGGGCGCAAGGCAGAAAAGGCCGAAATGAGTCCTCAGAGGGGGCAAAGTCCGGTAAGGACAAGGGACAAGCTGAACGCCTTGACGGTCTCATTCGAGCTGAACTCGTGTGTCTTGTCAGGATGGGGCCTATAGTCGGCCTGGCACAGCCATCTTGCCGCAGTTCCGGCGTGCGATTTGCAGCCGAAACGAATGCCTATGCGTTGGCCATGGCGCGAGCATGATTGGAGCGTATGGACGCGATACGCCTTGTGGCCGATGTCTGAGGTCTTTGGCTCTTGTCCATGTTGAGTGTAGCTTGCGTTTGCCGCCCTTCCAACAAGTTGCATTCCATCATCCCTCTCTCCTGGGCGCTTTCGTCTCATAGCGGTCATTTAATGCTGGACATCAAGAGCCGCGCAGCCCACGCAATTCACAACAGAAAACATACTGATCGAACACTTGTTCTGCAAACAACGTGGGGCAAGGACTTGCGTTGATGCTACGTCCTGTACCGCACTATCCGTCAGAAAGAGCATCTGCAGCACTAACATAAGCTCTTGGGCCTGTTCTATCAAACCATCGTTCGCCAAATCACCCCCAATGCCTTCGCTTGAAGACTCCTTGCAACCGATGTGCCGTTACTTCAAGACATATCAAACTTGGTACACTTCGGGCTCGATCCAGGTACGATCATTACAAGAAAGCGTGCAAGTTGACTCGATGGAGTACAATCCTCCGGGAATTCCCTGAGAAGAGCAAAAGAAACGAACAACTATGAAATAATCTGAATGCCATCCGGAATTTCTCGGTGGCCTCCAAAGGCGAGAAACGAAACGCGGCAAAGTTCCAAATTCGAATGACGTGGGAATCATTCCAGGTGCTTCACATGGCATTTTCCTATCGCAAAGCGAGAGCCCATGTTGTAACCTTCACGATGTATCATCTACACATACACATCGCACTGGAAATACTGGCCCCTTCTGGAATTCGGAGCGGCTAGGAAAAGAGGAGCGGCAGGTCAACAGCGTTGATTTCAGCCTTTGCTCCCATGGTGAGTTTACATGTACATGTGATGTGAGAGTTGACAAAAATGGATCCGTGCAAGTCGACAGCGCCCGCTTGGCCATTCAGATTGCATCTATACCGTCTATTCCAGCCCGTGCGGAGATCAGAATTCACTTGAATGCTTTGATCAGAATCTAGTTATCCCCTATGCTAATTGACCTCGCATGTTGGCAATGGCCTCTTTGCTTCGTCTGTTCATCCGTATTGCTCAGAGTCTTGGCATGTGGTACTTTGTTTGCTTTCTATTCTGAGAATTCTTGGCCTGACCCTCACCCGATGGACATCCTCCTACTCGAGCATTTCCTTTTCCGTGTCCGTGTCCGTGTCACTTCAATTTGGGCTCTTTGAGCGAAAATGATCGAAGCGGAAGTGGATCGAAATGGGAACTTCAGGCTCGCCGGGCTCTCAGCGGAACCTCAAGCCGAAAGGCGCCGAAAGGCGCCGAAAGGGTCAAGCCGAAGAGACATTTCGGGAGACATTTCGTTGGAACGCACTAAGCCTCGGGCGGATTCCACATCCCTCCGTTTTTCAGCTTCTCCTCCTCTTGATCGAATTCCGCCCTTGGGCAATTGCGCATGTCGATGGGGTCGATGGGGTCGATGGGGTCACAAGTGCGGGTCATGACGCTGAATTCCGGCAAGGATCTCTAAATCTTGCTGCTTCTTCTCGTCTGGCTCCTCACCTTGCAAGCAAGAAAGGGCAAACAAGAGAAAACAAGAGAAAAAAAGAGAAAGCAAGATGCCAAATGCGCGCAACTCCAAAAAAAGGCGTACAATACGTATGCCCGTCCTTCTTGCGGTTAGTCTGAGGCGTGGGCTCGGGCGTGCAAAGGCGTCCATGAAAGCCGAGAGCACGTTTTGGTCTTCCTTCTCCAGGGCCAACTTCATCGTCGAGCCGAAGCGCGAGTTCAGCACCGTGAAGAACTGAAGCTTCAAGCTGCTTCAAGCCAACAGTCAGACATGTCCTTTCCTTCTCACTTGAAATTCTGGTCATGCCTGAGTCAGCCCCACGTTTCTGGTGTTCCACATCTCATCCCCAAATGTGGCGCTGATCATGACCTCAATGCAAGCGCATGCCATCGCATGCCCACAACTTGGCGCATCTCTTGGCGCAAGGCCAGCTGTGCTCCGGGTCGAATCTGAAACAAATCGACAGCTCGAATCTGAAGCACAGCTATAGCACAGCTCTCAGAGACTCTCACAGCTCTCAACGGCCCAACGGCTGGGCCGTGCCAGCCGTTTTCCGCTCTCGAAATCTCAGCGCTGGACACCCTGCGCATAGGCGTCGCTGGATTTCTCCACAGACTGGACGCGTTGCAAGTGCTTCGCGGACACGTCTCTCAGTGCCCTTTGTGTCACAAGCACTGAAACTTATTGAAACTTATTGAAACCTTTGAGCTGACGTCCCCCTTCGCCTTGATGTAAATGTCCCCGCCAGCACGCTCCTGCAAACTGACGAGCATCGCACGATGCTTGCTATCAGAATATCATGTATCATATGTATCGATATGCCGCTCCTCAAAGTCCATGCCTAGCGGCATGGACACCTCCACAACCTCGGGTCACGGGGTACGGGATAGCGGGATAGCGTGACACATGAGACGGAGGCCCGGGAAGTCTCGCCAGCCTGAACTAGAGAGTAAGCCAAACATCGGGCAGCCCATTCACACGGAGAGCCCTATACGTTGCGCTGGCAGGCCACTGCCACGAATGGATCGACCAACCAAAACCTAAAACCACAGCAACCATGAGGACCGTGCTTTTGCATGGATCGTGTGAAATGGATCCTTTTGCATATCTGTCTTTGGCTCGCATCTGCCTGTCGTGCCGAGCGTGTGCCGGCTTCTTCTGGGTCCTAAGGGCAGCGCTCAAATGACATGACTGGCGTCGCGCACGCGTCCGCACGCGTCCTGCTCTTGATCAGAGTTCAAGAAAGGAAAGTCGAAGACTTTCACTGGCGCATGGCAAACATATGTTACAAAGCAGACTTATGCCCCACTGGTTACTGGGTTACTAAAGCTTGCTGGATCTTGCTGGTTGCATGCTTCCACAACTGCAATCCAGGCTAAGCATACGAAGCATTGGCCGCACCTCTCATTGCTGTCTTTGATCGCGGAAGGCGACTGGGCTGAAGAAAGGCAACCTGTGCCAAAACGTTCAGACTGATTCCCACACTCAAACTGAAAACCTCAAGGCTCAGGACCATGAGCCTTGGCCGGGCACATAGGCTGCTTTTGCGGGATGAGCTTGAGCTTCGGACACCAAAGCCCCCCGGGCCAACGCCTGACTCCTTCAAAAGTTGATCAATATGAACCAATACTCTTCAAGAGTTGAAACATGCGACATATGGAGATCAGGCGACATATGGTGAACCAGGTCCTGCGATTCGCCATGACCCTTCGCCTGTCACTTCTTGACCCATGGCTGAACCAAATGCAACGGCACAAGAATGGCCGAGGCGAAATAACACAATCAAACCATGGAGCCCCATGCATGATGCAGGCCACCTGCAGGCGTCTCTACGGGGCGCTTTTTTCATGCCTTCCGAGCTGGTGTGCCATGAAGATACGGGGCATGCCCCTCATCGGCAATGGCGTGACGCTGGGCTTTGAGGGTTGCATCACGTATCCTTCTTCAAGTCACAGAGTCAAGCAAGTCTCATGGCGTGGCACGTGTCATGTCCCGTAGCTATGCCAGCCGAGTCAGTCTGTCAGGTTTGACAGGAATGGGTGCGGGCATGGCGATACCACAACAAGCCTGGCACACGCAGGTCGCGGCAGGTCGCATAACCGACGGCATAAGGGGCGCGTATTGCGCCACCGATGCCCTCAACAAGCCGCCCCCGAGAGTGACACGAGCAACGCCGAGTCGCTGTCTGTCCGAGACAAGGGCGGGGCGTGAGCCCGACATCCAGCTCTATGCCTCAGCTCGAGTTGCCAGCCGTTGCCCTCGAAAACTCACCACCTTCTAGCTGAACCAACTGCCTAGACCTGTGCGATCCAGAAAACCCGATGCTTGAGGATCGCATCGATGTCAAATTGCTTCTGACTCTTTGGTGAAGCCCAAGGTTGTTGCGAATCGCTTCAGTGTCCCGGTTTCCCGGATCGTTCGCGTGTTCCGGAATTGCGTTGCTTGGACCACGGGCGCTCGACTTTTCGTGGCCCAATTTCGGTCTACACGTACAGCTTTCTGATGACAAGGAACTCTCATTATTGAAACAACAATGTCAAAACAAAAAGGAAGATCGTTCCAACCTGCGCAAAGGACAGTGAACCAAAAAGGGAATTTTTTGGGGGCCATGACGGTTGAACAGAAGCAAAGGACAATACAAAGCCTGGAAAAGGAAAATGCCACGGGGAAATAGAAAGGGATACAGCTACGAGTGTCGCAGAGTTGGGCATTACACACGTGATTGAGTCCTTGTCTACAGCATGAGCTGCGCAGGAGAAGATGACAGCGTGGCTCCTCTGCCAGATTGGAGTTGAGATGCGCGTTTGTTTGTTAAAGCTACTACCGCTCAACCGCTCACGGATCTCAGGGTTGCACTATGTAGCACTATGTCATTCAATGGCACCTTTCGAGCAGAACTGTACGCGAAGGACAAGTGGACTGGTGGCGCCTTCTTTGCAGACCGGAGACCTATCCTGCTGACAGGCAAGTGGATGAAAACTACATCAGGTCAAACGGAAACTCGCCGGCAAGGGGAAAGCAAAAGGAAAGAACATTCCCATCTTCGTACGCTACTGGACAGTCCTGTGTCAGGGCATCTACGTCTGGACTGTGACTGCCTCTCTAGGTATACCAGTGCTCTCGGACTGAAAAACACAGGCTAGCACAAGCTGGGGGCGCTAAGAACCCTATACTTGTGCTCGGAGTGCTAAAAAAGAGCTTTTACGGCATTTGCACCGGAACGCTTTCTCTACACGTTTGTACGCGATGGAACAAAAACATAGGGTGAAGCAACTCAAACACTGCGCGCGGCCGGCGTGCAGCTGGACTACCGCCAGCAACATGTTCATACATTCGAGCACAAGCCTTGATCAACCTGTGCCACGTTTTCAGGGCTGTTGAAACGGACTAATTCTGTGGATAACCCCCACGCGGTCTGTTGCACCGCAGATAACCCCCTCGACTGACTTCAGTATACCTCAGTGCTTCAGGGTCACGCCGCCAAACGCCACGCTTGAGTGTGTTGCATCCATGCGCGTACCAATGCCACACTGGCTTCATGGGGGTTGCGCGTGTGGCTTGCTTCCTAACCGTGCTGCCTTTGATCGATGCGCTGCGCTCGTTTGCTGGCGCCTTGGCGCGCGGCAGTGCTTTTGCCTGATGTGGAGTCGGTGTGTCTGCGTAGGATGGGCTTCCTGCGAATGTTTTTTTCCAGTAGCAAGTTTCTGACATGACCCCGTCTGCGCAAACTTTATATACTTCAGATTCTGCTGAGCTTAGCGCTGTTATTGTACATTCCTACTTGCAGTCAACCTACAACTACGGTTTCCATCAGCCCTGACGGCGCAGCTCCTTTTTCTTCAAGCACTCGTCCATGTTCGTTTCAAGCCTGTGTCACTCACAGGGTAATGCGTTGCCTAGACCCACCGACCAAGCAGGTTCACACCTGCTCTGGGGGTGGGCCATGCGGGTCACTCCCTGCGTGGCCATGCAGGATCGCTTCCTGCTTAAGATCCTGGCTGCGCAGACACTCCCCTGTGCCGATCGGTGGGCATTCGCAGGCAATCTCCTGCGCAGACCCCAGGCACATAGTTCAAAAGTCGGGGCGCTCCACCGGAGGTCGTCGACTCAGGGTGGGCCGGGTGGGAGAAAACTCAACTAGCCAGTTGGGATCAGAACCTTGAGCCAAAATCGGCATAGTTGAAACTGCAGTAAGTAATGATACCTTGAACACCCAACCTGCCAGGCCTCATTCAAGAATACATTCCGACTTGCAGTCAACCTACAACTACGGTTTCCATCAGCCCTGCAGCTCCTTTTTCTTCAAACGCTTGTCCATGTTGGCTTCCAGCCTGTGTCACCCACAGGGTAATGCATTGGCTAGACCCACTGACCAAGCAGCAGGTTCACACCTGCTCTGGGTGGGCCATGCGGGTCACCCCCTGCATGGCGATGCAGGATCGCTTCCTTCTTAAAATGCCAGCGCGCTTGAAATCCCACCGCACTTACAGAAACTGACACGGACGAGGGAGAAACCGGGAGAGCCCAGAGGGGCCTTGCCGTCGGTCCACCTGCTCGACGACGGCCGCGGGAGTCCAGAAAGGCCTTCAACTCCGTGCAGGTCCTTGGATGGCGACTCGACTGGCTCCAAACGGGTGCACTTCAGCTAGGCTGGTCGCTCTCGCCCTGTGCGCCACTCATCGTAGATGCGGTCGGACTTGATGTTGCTTGGCCTGTTCGCCCCATCTCCTCACAAAAGCCGCAGCCAACGCCGTCGCTCGGCGCACCACCTTCTCGGGCGCAAAGTCGAGGCTTCGGGCGGTTCTGAATGGTTTGGGGGCTGGCCTGCTGCTCGAACTCCTGCAGCTGCTCCTCCTTCCTGGGCCGGCTTGCCAACGGGAAGGGTCATTGTCCCTGATGAGACCCACCTGCTCAGGGCGCAACTCATATGCTGCGGCAACCACTCCTCGGCGGCTCCAAGTCCCCAACCAAGGGAGTTGGAACCCTCCCCGGGGCAGCACAAAACCGGTAACTCCGGAAATCCACTCTCGGCTGCACCTGCTGGTGTCCCTGCGCGGCGAATCCCCACCACGGAGCCCCATAGCCCCAACGCCTGGGTGGTCTCTCCACCACGCAGCAGCCGGTTGACCTTGTAGCGGAAGTGCGTGAAAGCCGCAGGCGAAAGGACCTGGCGCTCCGTGCGCACAGCAACATGAGTACCTGCCATTCAGGTCACTCCTGAGACAGAAAACTCAACTAGCCAGTTTGGATCAACACCTTGATCCAAAATTGGCATAGTTGAAACTGCAGTAAGTAATGATACCTTGACCACCCAAGCCTGCCAGACCTCATTCAAGAATATCTTGCGTTCTGCTGCCACATGCAACTGTTGTTCCAAGCAAGCTGATGTTGAAACATGAAGTCGAATGCCTGGTACTAGAGCGTCCTGCCCAATCCGCATCGACGTACGTCGAGATTTGGAAGGTCTTTTGCGTTTGCTCGTTGTTCGCTCTAAAGCGGGCTCTATAGCGCGTTGGGAGAGCTTGGCGCCGCGCAAGCATAGTGAATCCCTGGACATTGGCTATTGATTCTGATCAATAACTTACAGCCTTTTTTTCCAATAAAACTAAGTGGTTTTAAGAGCTCTAAAATCAATACCAAAGCCCCCTTCAAAATCAATAAAAACAGCTCCAAAAAACAAACAAAATCAATAACAAAATCAATACATCGAAACCATAGCTGTGTTACTTGCCAAATCATATACCAAATGAATAAGCAGTGACAGATATGCACCGCTACCCTAAGGCTGCAAAAGTCTTAAGTCAAGAAAAACAAATGTTTGCTCCCATAATCATGGCCAAATTTGGTTGTGGTGGAAAAATGCAAAGTCCCACGCACGCGCCGAGAAAGCATCGCAAGTTACATATAGAGCCAAGTTGCACAGAGCCAAGGTGCACAGGGCCAAGTTGCACAGAGCCAAGGTGCACAGGGCCAAGTTGCACAGAGCCAAGTTGCACAGAGCCAAGTAGCACAGAGCGCGCAGAGCCAAGGTTAGGTAGAGCTTGCGTAGAGCTTCGGCGTAAGCAGCTATGGAGTTTGATCATCGCTCGGGCTTGCGACCCTCTGCGGAGATCCGCGTGGTCGAGGTTAAAACTGAGGACTTCTCACGATTTCTGATCTGCGCGCGCGACCTTCTGCGGAGATTCGCGTGGTCGAGGGAAAAAAACTGAGGACTCAAGTTCCACGATTTTTGATCTGCGCGCGCGCGACCTCTGCGGAGATCCACGTGGTCGATGTCAAAAAGCCTATGGGAAAGGTATCTATCTGTCATGGCTGTCAAAGCAGGTAGCTCATTTAGTGCCAGTACTTCAAAAGGTTCTTGTTAATCTTCCTTTGGCTATTTGATTCTTCTGTGTGTGTGTGTGTTTGTCTTTGGTGTCTGTATGTATGTGTGTCCGCGTTTTTGCGCATGTGTTTGTGTGCCTGTTTGTGTGTGTGCGCGTGTGTTTTGGCGTGTTCGTGCGTGTTCGTGCGTGTTCGTGCGTGTTCGTGCGTGTTCGTGCGTGTTCGTGCGTGTTCGTGCGTGTTCGTGCGTGTTCGTGCGTGTTCGTGCGTGTTCGTGCGTGTTCGTGCGTGTTCGTGCGTGTTCGTGCGTGTTCGTGCGTGTGCGTGCGTGTGTGTGCGTGTGCGTGCGTGTGTGTGTGTGTCTGTGTGTGCGCGCGTGTGCGTGTGCGTGTGCGTGTGCGTGTGCGTGTGC